AGTATGTTCTTTTTTTAAAAATGCCTTTTAAATACATAATTTATTGTCAGATTGGTTTCCATACAACACCCAGTGCTCATCTCAACAGGTGCCCTCTGTGCCCATCACCCACTTTCTCCTCTCCCCCATCCTCCCACCAACCCTCAGTTTGTTTTCAGTGCTTAAAGAGATTCTTATGGTTTGCCTCCTTCCCTCTCTGTAACTTTTCTCCCTCTCCCCCTCCCCCTCCCCTATGGTCTTCTGTTAAGTTTCTCAGGGTCCACATATGAGTGAAAACATATGGTATCTGTTTTGCCTGACTTATTTCACTTAGCATAATACTAGGCTTTTGTTTTTTTTGTTTCTGGGAATTACATAAAGCAACAGGAATTACAGCTGAAAATCAGTGGGAATTTTTTAAATGTGCAAAGCATAGAAAATGCCTCTCAGTTGCTGTGGAGTATGTTCATTGTGTTAGCCATACAGATATCATCCACTAGTATCCTATTTACCTACAGAGGGAAATGTGTGTGAATAGAATTGTTTTTGCCTTCTCTATTCAAGTCAGAGGGAGAGAAGCAGTACTGTAAGAAAGGGGTAAATAGGGGAATAGTGCTGCCAAGGAAGAAACAAATACTTTGTGGTCCTGGCCTCTTCCAGCTTGAAGGAATTTTATGCACAAATAAAATAAGCATAATATGAAAAGACCCTTTGTTCAAAGGCTTTGATTTTCTGAAAGGAGCTGACTGCTGAGACTTGCTTACTGGCTCACCTTGGAAAAGGGTCCATTTAACTTTATCTGGCAAGTATACAAGACAGGTGTCCTCTTAAATGAGGTTAAACTTCATGGTTTATGTGTGGGATAGTAAGAAAAATTTCAAGCATATACTGAAACAGAAAAATATAATGATTCCCTGTACCCATCACCCAGTTTCAACAGTTATCAACTCATGGCCTATTTTGAAAGAAATCTCAGGATATAATTCCATCCATATATATTATGCTTTTATACGTATCACTGAAAGAAGGAGCTTTTTAAAAATATATCAGGGTTCCTGGGTGGCTCAGTCAGTTAGGTGTCAGACTTCAGCTCAGGTCATGATCTCACCACTTATGAGTTCGAGCCCCGCGTCAGGCTCCGTGCTGACAGTTCAGAGCCTGGAGCCTGCCTGGGTTCTGTGTCTGTCTCTCTCTGCCCCTCCTTCCCTCCCCCCGCCCTCAAAAATATAAATAAACATTAAAAAAATTTTAAATGTATCTAAAACACCATTATCACCCTTAAACACAGCCAGTTCTTTATTTTCATCAGATATAAATACCTGTTAGTATTTCCCTAGTTTTTGCTTTTGAACACTTAAGTTTCTCCAATCAGGATCCAGACAAGGTCCACATGTTACATTGAGTTCTTTTCTTTCTTTATCTCTTAAAAAAATTTTTTTAAACGCTTGTTTTATTTTTGAGAGACAGACACAGATTGCGAGAGGGGGAGGGACAGAGAGGGAGGGAGACACAGAACCTGAAGCAGGCTCCAGGCTCCGAGCCATCAGCACAGAGCCCGATGCGGGGCTTGAACTCACAAACTGTGAGATCATGACCTGAGCTGAAGCCAGCCACTTAAGCGACTGAGCCACCCAGGTGCCCCTAGTCTCTTTTAATCCATAGGCTTGTCCCTCCTGCTTTGGTTTTTCCTTGCAATTTATTTAAGAAACCAAGATGTTTGGCTTCTAGAATTTCCCACATTCTGGATTTTGCTGATTGTATCCATGTAGTGTCATTTAGTGTGTTCTTCTGTCCCCTGTATTGTCTGTAAACTGGTGATTACACTAGAATCTTGGTAAGTTTCAAGATTTGGGTTCAGTTTTTTAGCAAGAATACTTCATAGGTGATGGTTGTATACTTCCTATTTAGCATTATAAAGTAGTATTTTTGCTTTCACCTAATGATTACAGCAGCCACTGATGATAATTGTCAGAGCCATTACTTCATCAGGGATGCATCTGTTTTTGGCAGTTTAAAGGTACTCCATTTGTGGGACGCCTGGGTGGCTTAGTTGGTTAAATATTCGACTCTTGATTTGGCCCATGATCTTGCAGTTCGTAGGTTAGAGCCCTGCGCCATCAGCCTGGAGCCTGCTTGGAATTCTCTCTCTCTCTCCCTTTGTTTTTGCCCCTTCCCTGCTCATGTGTGCACACATATTCTCTCTCTCTCTCTAAGTACATTTTTTAAAAAGAAAGAAATGTATTCCATTTACTCTTTAAAGTCCAGTTATTTATAATAGTGCCTTGGTCTCTCAAATGTCTTCCTAGTAATTGAATCATACAAAACACTCCATTCTTTCCATGCACTTCAGTAGAGCACATTTACAGAGGATTTTCTCAAAAGACTTTGCTCTTTGAAAAGAGGCAAAGGAGGAGATATTTAATACAAGAAGGCTTTACGGGAGAGAGTAAGATATGAAGGACATCAAAATATCTTCTTTGGGAAAACAGAGAAAAAGACTTTCTTTAAAAGCCTGCTGTTATGATGGTGCACCTGGGTGGCTTGGTCAGTTAAGTGTCTGACTCTTGATTTCGGCTCAGGTCATGATCTCACAGTTCGTGGCTTCGAGCCCCACATTGGGCTCTGCACTGACAGTGTGGAGCCTGCTTGGGATTCTGTCTGCCTCTCCCCTGCTCACTCTCTGTCTTTCAAAATAAAGAAACAAACATTTAAGGGGGAAAAAAACCTGTTACGATTCCCTGGCAGTTGTGATGAATTAGTAGGGAACATGGTCATATAGTTGGCTACATTGGAAAAATAAAAGTTCATGGAAGAGAATTTTAAAAATCTGTTACTTGGAGGGCACCTGGGTGGCTCAGTAGGTTAAGCGTCTGACTTCGGCTCAGGTCATGATCTCATGGTTCATGAGTTCCAGCCCCGTGTGGGGCTCTGTGCTGACAGCTCAAAGCCTGGAGCCTGCTTCACATTCTGTGTCTCCCTCTGTCTCTGCCCCTCCCCACTCATGCTCTGTCTCCCAAAAATAAAAACATTTTAAAAATTATTAAAAAAAGCCTACCACTTGGTCCTTAAACCACAACTTTCCACTTTCTTGAGACAAGGTTAGTAGGACAATGTTATTTCCCCATTGCAAAAAACTCCCATCTTGAGTTTTACAGCCTGAGAAGGGCAGGGAGCTCCTTTAGCCCCCTGCCTGCACTTAGAACCTCATTTATTATTCAGCCAGAGGCATGTAGGTAGGTTGGAATGGTGTGGTGTGTTCAAGTTTGCCTTCTGGAGTTTAATATTGTCCTGAAATTTTAATTTCAGAGGTCCAGGTCCTCAAGAGCTAGAGCCTCAGAAAGAAATAATTTCCTGTTAGGCAGCCTTGTGATGAGTGTCCTATTTCAGATTGCTTCTCTGGGCCACATAAAACAAAATCCTACAACTGTTTCTACTTATGTTTCCCTATGAGTAGTTTCCCAGCTTGGGATGGTGACGTAACCTATCTTTTTCTCTCTTTGTCCTCAGGAGCCAATGAAGTGCTTCTGGTGGTTGGGGGCTTCGGAAGCCAGCAGTCTCCCATCGACGTGGTAGAGAAATATGACCCCAAGACTCAGGAGTGGAGCTTTTTGCCAGTAAGTAATGGTGGAGCCAGTCATTGGGAAAGAGTTTAAATGTCCTCAGTCCCTGACTCTAGATCATATGTAATCCAGCCCTAAAAGTAGCAAAGCCTAGTAATAGTAAGATGCTCCTTACAATAGTGTCATGTACATGGTAGGTTCAAAATCAATTAATCAATCCATCGTTCCTGACCATTTGATTAGAAGATTAGACTTCAGAAATATCAATGCCCCTGTTCCAAAAGAGGAGAAATATCAATGGCCCTGTGCGAAATTAAACTTACCTGACCCACCACTATTTCAGCACCTTCCTGAGCTGTCCGTGTAACTCTCAGCATGCTCCATTGTCATGCTCTGTTAAGCTGAACTCTGTTAAATTATGTTAAATTGAACTAATGTTCACTTGAAGTCTGAAGTTTATATCTTTCTCCCTTTGTATGTCTCTGTTTCAGTGCTGGATGAACAATAATAGTTCTGAGAACATGGAAATCTTTTAATCAGTCCTCCTAACTTTTAGGATATTGGAATCCTGGCCCTTTGATTAGCAGTTGGGGCTACTTTTCTACTTTATAGAAAGATAACAGTCTTTAGCCCAGTGGAACAGGAAGGAATCAGACACTGGATAATGCAAAGACATTAAACTTTTTGGAAGCCTTGGAGAGAGGCAGATGTGGAGAAGGGTTGCATCTTTAAAAGCATCACAACAAACAAGAGGGTTTGGAGGCCACTTGAGGGTGAACTACTGTCCCAGCGGTTCACAGTGAAGAAGGAGAGGTACATAGATAAAAACAGGAAGGTTAGCAGCAGATAAGGCCTAAGATTTGCATGACTGAAATATTTGTACCTCTTCTCTCCTAAATCCATAGAGCATCACTCGTAAGAGACGTTACGTGGCCTCAGTGTCCCTACATGACCGGATCTATGTAATTGGTGGCTATGATGGCCGTTCCCGCCTTAGTTCGGTGGAATGTCTAGACTACACAGCAGATGAGGATGGGGTCTGGTATTCTGTAGCCCCTATGAATGTCCGACGAGGCCTTGCTGGAGCCACCACCCTAGGAGGTATGCTTGGTGTGCAGGGCAGTGTTTCCGTTTTGTTGGGGCTGGATCAGGGTTCATAACTCTCCTGTTGTCTGGCAGGAGCATGAGGTCAAATATTCCTTTTTGCTTTGGGAAATATTAATGTTACCAAGGCTTTTCAGTATTCATGAGTGTTTCAACACTGACCACAGAGCTGGTAAATCAAGTTCCAGTGTGCCGAGTGGAGAATTGGCACTGGTTATATTTTTGCAAACTCCACCTTTGAAGTCTTTGAGTGATTTCAAGGATTCCATCTTACCCCGTTCTTTTTAGATGTCTTAACTCTGATGTCTTCCTTATCTATAAGACTTAATTGACTTATCTCATGAAAAAACATTTTGTTTTTGTTCCCAAACATTTAAAGGACTTGTGGGGAATTTGTAAGGAGAAGAATTAATAGAAATCTCTCATCCTCGTGGTGCCTGGGTGGCTCACTCAGTTAAGTGCCCAACTCTTGCTGTCGACTCAGGTCATGACCTCACAGTTTGTGAGTTCAGGCCCACATCGGGCTCTGTGCTGACAGCATGGAGCCTGCTGGGGATTCTGTCTCTCCCTCTCTTGCCCCTCCCCCACCTTAAAATAAATAAACATAAAAAATTAAAAAAGAAATCTCTCATCCTCTAATAGTCTGTGATTCATTCATTCTGAGCAGATATGATCTACGTGTCTGGAGGCTTTGATGGAAGTAGGCGTCATACCAGTATGGAGCGGTATGACCCAAACATTGACCAGTGGAGCATGCTGGGAGATATGCAAACCGCCCGGGAGGGTGCTGGACTAGTTGTGGCCAGTGGAGTGATCTACTGCCTAGGTATTCAGTCTGGGAGGCGAAGATGAGGGAACTCAATGGGTGGGGACCCCTTTTTATCAAAATGAAGTTCATAGACTTTTTTCAACTAAAACCCTAGTCTATCCCAATATCTTTTCTGTTAACTGAGGTTATCTTTCTCATGGAAGCAGAAATTAGGGTACTATCAGATTTTTCTTTGGATTATTGGAACTCTTGAAGGAGAACTGAAACTATAAGAATTAGTTGAAACACTCTGAGAGAGGCACACTGGGAATGGGCATGAGGGTTTACCAGTCTGTCTGAAATGGTCTCTGCTTTGGTTTTCAGGAGGATATGATGGCTTGAATATTTTAAATTCAGTTGAGAAATATGATCCCCACACAGGACATTGGACTAATGTTACACCAATGGCCACTAAGCGCTCTGGTAAGACACTCATATCTAAAGGAGAGGACAATCGACTGTGCTGACGAATCTTTACATACGCAGTGGTGGTGGAGTCAAAGAGGGTATCAACAAATCAGAGTTGTATTTCTTTCTTCACCGTACACTTCACTCATGTAAAACATAAGTCTGGTTTCATTCTCCTCTTTGCCTGTCTTTTCTCTAAACATAATGAAAATAAAGACAACTAGATTATTCTAAGCCTGTCTGGCTCTAGTCCACATCCCTCAGCTACTCTAGAACTCAGCTAGCCACCAATGATCATGTTTTGTTTTTAGAATTCTTCTCCTAAGCTTAGTAGTATTGATTTACTATGCCTTTTTCCCCCCAAGGTGCAGGAGTAGCCCTGCTGAATGACCATATTTATGTGGTGGGGGGATTTGATGGTACAGCCCACCTTTCTTCTGTTGAAGCATACAACATTCGCACCGATTCCTGGACAACTGTCACTAGTATGACCACTCCACGATGCTATGTAGGGGCCACAGTGCTTCGCGGGAGACTTTATGCTATTGCGGGGTAAGGATTTGGAAGCCAGGCTAGAGTCGTCGTGCATCCAGGACAACATGATCCATTCCGAATTTTTGGATCGAGACAGGGTTTGGGTTGGGGGAGACATCTCCAGTGGCAAACTTTAATGTAGGACTGTATGGAGAGGAATAGAAAGTTCATTTTCTTCTTTTGCTTCTTCCCCACTCAGATACGATGGGAATTCCCTGCTGAGTAGCATCGAGTGCTATGACCCTATCATCGACAGTTGGGAAGTAGTGACATCCATGGGAACCCAGCGCTGTGATGCTGGCGTGTGTGTTCTTCGAGAGAAGTGACCGTTGTTGGAGCACCATCCAGAGCTAGTGACCAGTCCAAGGGACAGTTTACAGGAGCGTCAAGGATCCTTTCCAGAATATCTATTTCTCACCGTGTGCACAGGGTGATTACAAGCACCAGTGTGGTGGTGATTGTACTTATTTGACACACACTCCACTTTGTGCTGGTAGTTCTCTCTGAGGAGGGTGGGTAACAGACACTCAAGGGAAGACAATGCACACTGAATGGATCTGAGAGGCCAGACCATCTCTCCTTGGCCAGAGAGCACTGTCATGTGCTTGGGAGAATCCATATATATGTTGTGCCTCGCGTATTGCAGAGAATTAAGGTGAGTATGACCTACTAGATGTGGACAGTATCCAGCGTATGATTGGAAGGATACCAACTTGAGTAAGCTGGGTAAAATCCAAGTCTTGTTTTCCAGGAATAAATGTCTTTCCTAGTCTGCAGGTAACTAGGGGCGACACAGTTCCATTCTGGAGGATAATAGAGGGGAAAGCCCCCTATCAAAACTTGGGGGGCTTGGGGAGAGACCTGGCATTGCCTTAAGGGACAAGGTTGGTGTATCAGAACTGGGTTTAGAATAAGGGAAGTAAACAGAATTTGATGGAACGTGAGTAAACCTAGAACACCGCTGAGGTATAACCTGGAAGACTTAAAAGGGTGTGTCATTGGAAGGATCTTTTAATTTCCCCATGATCTTTCTGGGTGCGCATCTTGGCATTGACAGAGTAACAATGAACAAATGTTGGGAGGAGCAGAGATGGAATAAAGGTGGGAGTTTGGTATGCCTGGGAACAAACTAGAAGTACCTGTGATTTTACAGTCGTCTTATTTCCCGCCAGGGCTCATCTCTCCGTGGCAAGGTTTGCCTTGAGTCGGTGAGACACTGTCTGTCTGTGTTGAATCAAATACTACTACACTATTATACTTCATTACTATTTATTTGGGGGTGGGGTGGGGGTGGCAGCAGCGTAGAAATTCAGCTACCTGATTACTGCCCTGTTCTTCTAAGGGCACACTTCTGCTAAGGAGTGGTTTTTACTGCTGTGTTTGGTACAATTAGTCCTTTTCCTACTATGAGGTTCCCTGACCTGTCCGTAGAGTGGATTTTATTCTTCCTGGGACAGAATAATCAAGGCAACCAAAACTCTTTTGTTAGTTCCAGTACTTGGTACCACCATTTCTGAATTTCTGAGCTACTATTCAAGGCTCCCCTGTGTTACGGAGTGAAATTCTTGGCTTTGTGGGTATTGGGAGTGTGGGGATGTGGTAACCTAAACAAGGATGCACTTTCCCTTTATTCTAAAATTCCATTTTTTTCCTCTTTCCCCGAGTTGTATTGGTGTAAAGAGTTCATTTCCTTTGTATTTTTTTAAGAAAATATTAAAAATCAGTGGTCTCAAGTGCCTATAAGAGAGTTTGTGGCTAACCAACACTGTCTTGCGGATACTTGGGGAGGGGTGGGGGGGACCAGGCAGAGATCAGCTGTATGATCCTGTCTCTTCAACCTCTTCACCTTATGTGTTTGCCAACTGGCCCTACTATGTTTCTTTGCTAGACGCGGGTAAGAGGTAGCCCCTTTACCCTTGTGGAGCTTCTCAGCAGTAAAATATTTACGTGAAATTGTGTATTTATTGACTCTTCTCACACTGGGAGTTTACTTGAAAAGCAAACAGAATAAAGAGGAGTCAATCTTGAGCTCACTTAGTACCCACTTGAATTTTAGGGTCTTTAGTCACTCCATTCCTTTCTCTGTTTGCTTTGATTTATGGCACCTGATGTAAACAGCCATGCAGAAGGCCTGCACAACTGCAGAAATCCTGACATTCCCAGAGCAAAAGGAAGGGGGAGCCAAAGAGGAAGTTATTTTCACTAAAGAAGCCCTGCCAACCTTTCCTCAGCAGATGGATTGTGCCTGCTGATCAAACCACAGCTATGAAACATATGACTCATCCTTTCTCAGGAAGAGATCCAGGGGAGGTGGAAAAGTGGGGGTTCAGAACTGATGGCTCCTAGGCTATCTTTACTGCTGACTTAAGAGTTCTTATATGGCAGCCACCACTGAATATTCTGCATAAAACATCTAAAACTCTTTGCTGTCTTTCCACTCTTCCAATCTTGCATACTCTTCTCATACACATACACAGAGGTATGCCTGATATGGGGGTTCCTCCTGTTTTTGTAGCTCTCTTCACTGGCAACCAGCCACTTAGTTATCCCACCTCGGAAAACTCATTTATCTTGTGTTCCCCCCATTACAATACAGACATGCAATTCATTTCTGACTTGTACATGACATTATCTTTAATAGTTCCAAATATATTCTTATAACTGTATTCCCTCTGCTACCACTTAGTTCAAGCCTTTATCTCTTACACAGACTCATGGAGTAATAGCCTCCTGATAGCCTTACCCCTGCTCTTTTCCTGTCTTCCAGTCTAGCCCCTCCATTTAGTTATCAATGTTCTTCCTCAATTACATGTAACATCATTACAGTGCCTAACATACAGCAAATTTTCAGTGAATATTGAACAGTTATTTCTGGCCTAAAATTCCATAGATTCCCATTTCCCACATTATGAAGTTCAAATTCCTTAGCATGACTTTAGACCCATGATGCTCTGGACCCACTCTACCATTCTGATCTTCCCCCCCACCCCCTACTATTTTCTCTTCCCTCAGGTGTAATGTCCTTCAGTGGACTACTAACCATTCTTAAATGTGTTCTCACCTTTGTTCATGTATTATACTGTTCTTCTGACATAGTCTTGCTTTTCAGACAAAATCCTAGTCACATTTTGATGCCTAATTAAAATGTCACCTAGGTAAAGCCTTTTCTAACTCCCCAGATGGAATTATTCCCTAATCCTGGCTTCCATTTACTTTGTTCCCATGGTTGTCTTTATCACATGTCATTTGTTTTGGGTATGTCTTCCTGTTTAGGCTGTGTTCTCAAATACAAAGTGCCTATTATCATTGTATCCTCAGGGTTTAGTTATATTACATAATTACTAAATGTTGAATTACTGAAGGACAAAGAGGAAGAAAAACCTGCAGATGGGGATGATGGGTAGATTAGACATTACCTATTTAAGTAACTTGGTTCCCCTTCATATTCTGCTTCCCTTGCCATTTCAGGATATCCATGGCCTAATGCACTAGAACTGATAAGCTAGAGATCTAAAGCTCAATCAAATGGAGTGAAAAGTATAGTGTAATGACAAAGGACAGTGGCTTTAGAGCCAGGCCTGGATCTATGGACCCTGGAAACTAGCCTCTGATCTTTACCTTCCTCAGTTGTGCACTGGGAGTAATCAGTGACAACCACATAAGGGAATTGTGATGATTCAATAGGTTTGTTTCTAAAGCACTTAAACACGGTATTTGCCACATAGTAAATAGTTGCGATGATTAGAACAGATATCAGCAATTAAAGTCTGGAAGCATCTTTTTCCAACACCAAAAAGGTACATGTCCCTTCAAGTAGTCTCTTGTTGAAGTAACTAATGTAGATAAAACTTGCTGATGTATATAGCCTGGCCCAGATTCCCTTCGCATTGCCTCCAGAAATGTTCCCGTTCATTCAGAAGACCAAAGTCAAATCTCAGCAAACTACATGGTATGGTCAACTTTAATGGCTTATTTACCCAGATTTTACTCAATATTTAAGGGAAGCCCAAAGACCAGGTGAGTATGAAGAGAGAGGATTTGTCACGTCCCAGTAAGTGACCCTGTCACAAAGCCAGCGGACACCTAACCACTCAAGTAATGAATGAGGCGCTTGCGCAGTAGAACCCAGAGCGGGCGAGGGGGGAAGGACGCATGCGCAGAAGGGGGGGCGTGACCGTGCGCTCCCCACCCCGTCTCTGAAAGCGGCGCCCGCGCAGTTCCGAAAAAGCCCGCAGAGACAGCGCCTGCGCGGTCGTGGCCGAGGAAGCTGTGGCGGTAGCGGCGATGGAACCAGCTGAGCCGCTGAACGAGTTAGTGTCAGCCGAGGGCCGAAACCGGAAGGCGGTGCTGTGCCAACGCTGTGGCTCCCGAGTGCTGCAGCCAGGGACCGCTCTCTTCTCCCGCCGACAGGTAGGGACGCAGGTTGGAGGCGGTTCACCCCCGCACGCTTTCCCAGGGGGCCGAGGTGGCTCGTGTCCCAGACCCCGCGCGCGTTTCCGGAGGCCGCGCCCCTCGTCGCGTCCGGGCTCCGCCTGAGGTTGCCCCCGCCGGAGTGGGGCGGCGGGAGCGCTGCCGGGACCCGGCCCCCGGCCCCCGGCCCCCGGCCCCCAGCCCCCAGCCCCAGCCCCGCCCTAGGTCTGGGCCGGCCGGTCACCCGGTCGCCGCGGGCGCGGGGCGCGCTGGACGCTGCTCCTCCGCGTGCGGTGCAGGGCTGCGGCAAGGCGCCGGCTTCCTAGGGCCCGGCGCCTCGGGACACGGGCAGCCCTTCCAGCTCCACCCTGCGGACTGGCCCCATGGCGCCCGGTGTACCTGGCCCGCGTCACACCGCTCTCACCGGTGTCCTTTCTGATGGGCTTCTCGCCGCCCCAAAAAGAGCTCCAGAACCGACTTTAGTGTAGGGGATGTGACAGATGACTCTCGTAACCTACACCCTTTACCAAGGTACTGGGTGGAACGCAGTTTCTCCAACGAATCAGATTTCCAGTGGGACAGACCGCTCAAGTCCTGAAATCATTTTTGAAGGGAGATTTAATTTTTATTTTACTCTTTTATTTCCTTCAAGTTAGATATTTTTATATTCTTCATGCTGCCATCACCCCAAAGGGGGAAAGTTGAAAACATTTTTTTTTTATTTTACTAAACTTTTTCTTGAGGTGTAACAATAACTTCAGGAAAGTGCAAAGTGTAATCTCATTTCAGCCATGTGCATACCCTCACTCAAAATTGTCTCCAAAAATATGCTGTCCTCATGACGTATCATATTGGGAATTAGGTTTCAACATAAGAATTTGGGAGGAACACAGTCTATATAACAGGGTGCTACTGG